TATATATATATATATATATATCGTCACAAACAGAACTGCCCGATAAACCGTAGGCAGAGAGAGAGAAGAGGACAACAAACGAGGTATATATATATATAAAGGGTTGCCAGCGTTTCGGGACGGGCCGAACACCCGAACCCGAACGCCCGAACGTTTTGGACCCCCTCTCGACGCATTCGGACGTTCGGCGGAACGCGGAACAAAAAAAAAAAAAACAAAAAAAAACAAAGTTTCCAAAAATTCTGAAAAACTCATATGTCATGCAGAAGAATAAACTCAACAACACTTGCCTCAACAGTATATCCAAATTCCTTACCAAATTTAAAATAAAAATCAAATACAAAACATCAATAATATTAATAAAAGTAAGAAAAAATAAAACGAGAATGAAATTATTGCGTGGAAGAGCAAGTTTTTGACACCGCCATCTTTGGCGATTTTTCATTTTTTTTGGATTTCTCAAATGCCATGAAATTTAATACATATTTATATTACATAATAGAGAACCTACAAATAAAGTTTGAAAAAATAATAATTTTTTTCAAGCCCCGAAATAAAGGAAAAACAAAAAGTGAAAAGAGAAAAACAACAAATTGGTAAGTGGGAAAGGAAGTTTTGACACCACCATCTTTGCCGATTTTTCATTATTGTTTGGCTCCACAGAATGACTTCAAAAGTGATAGACAGGTAGCTTACATAACAGAGAACACAAAAAGAAAAAATCAGAAACAAATAATAATTTTTAGGTACCAAAATAATTTTTTGCGGGGTCCGAACCCCTTCGAGAACCCGAACGCCCGAACGTTTGGGGGTCAGCTTAGGGGCTTCCGTACGTTCGGCCTGGCAACTCTGTATACATATATATATATATATATATGTATATATATCGTCATAAACAGAACTGCCGGGTAAACCGTAGGCAGAGAGAGAGAAGAGGATAACAAACGAGGGGCTGTAACAAACTGTTTCGTCGGAGTTTCACCGACTCATATATATATATGTATATATATATATCTTCAAATAGAACTGCCTGGTAAACCGTAGGCAGAGAGGGAGAAGAGGACAACAAACGAGGGGCTGTGACAAACTGTTTGTATATATATATATATATATATATATATATATATATATATGCCACACCAAAAACAAAAATTGGTGTGTTGTTTTTTTAATGAACTTTTTTTTTTCAGTCTTCGGAATTATATATTTTTTTACCTTTGTATATATATGTATATATCCAGGGTTACCTGACCAAACGTTTGGGGGCCCCCGGGCTGGCCCCCGAACGTTCGGGCGTTCAGGGTCCCGCTCAAGCGCCGAACACCTCCAGGTTCGGCCCCCGCCAAAAAACATTCCAGGGCCCAAAAATAAGTTTTTTTTTCTGAATGTTTTTTTGTGGGTTCTCTATGATGTAACCTAGACGTTTATAAATTTGAAGCCATCCTGCTAAACCAAAAAAACATTAAAAATCGTCAAAGATTAAGGTGTCAAAACGTGCTCGCCGACTCACTATTTTGTTTTTTTTCACTTTTAACTTTTTGTTTTCTCTTTATTTCGGGGCCTCAAATATTCTATTATTTTTAATATTTTTTTAATAAGTTATTGATTATGTAAACTATATATCTGTAAATTTTCAGGGCATTTGTCAATGCCAAAAGATAATTCAAAATCGGCAAAGATGGAGGTGTCGAAAAGGTGCTGGTACACTCACTCATTTTAATTCTCTTTTTATTTTTTCTTATTTTTATCATAGTGTTTATTTTCTGTATTTGATTTTTCATTCAAATTTGGTAACGAATTTGGATGTAGTGCCTCAGTAAATGTTGTTTAGTTTATTTTTCTCCATAACATAAATTTGTTTCGGAATGGTTTGAATTTGTTTTTTTTTTTTTTTTTTTTTTTTTTTTTTTTTAAATGGGATG